TGTTCTCATTTATGTGATGAATTTCAGTTAAGAAAGGCGACAAAGATGTAGACTTGGTTGCATCACTTTGCAAGATATATGACGCCTCAGAAGATGAATTGAGGAAAATAATGGACAAGGCAAATAATTTAATAGAAACAATACTGAAAAAGAAGCCATCTTCAGCATCCGCCTGCAAAACCGACAAGCTAGATAATATTAACACAGGTTGGTCTTGAGAACATTTTTCCTCTCTGTCAGAGTCATATGAGTTGATTGAACCTTTACCTGATTGTTCTTTTAATTTCAGATGGCTTGACCTACTTTGAGGATTTACTGGACGAAGCATCCATCTCAACTAGCTTGACCACACTAGAAAAAGACTACGACGAAACAGTCTGTAACAAAGGCGAGCTTGATGAGAGGGTGTTCATCAATGAAGAGGATAGCTTACTTGGATCTGGAAGCTTATCTGCAGGAGCTGTAAATGTTACTGGTGTTAAGAGGAAAATTGATTCTTTGAGCTCACCTGCGAGGACATTTATAAGTCCACTCTCTCCTCATAAGTCACCTGCAGCTAAGACAACTGTTACAGCAACACCAGTGAGCACAGCGATGACAACTGCCAAATGGCTCAGGACTGTTATATGTCCGCTTCCGCCAAAACCTTCTCCTGAGTTGGAACTTTTCTTGAAGTCGTGTGATAGAGATATAACAAATGATGTCACAAGAAGAGCACATGTGATACTGGAAGCTATTTTCCCAAATAATTCCCTTGGGGACCAATGTGCAGGGGGAAGTTTGCAACCTGTCAACCTGATGGATGACATATGGGCACAACAAAGAAGATTAGAAGCTCTGAAGTTATACTACAGAGTTCTTGAGGCAATGTGTAAAGCAGAAGCTCAGATTTTGCATGTCAACAACTTAAACTCTTTACTGACAAATGAGAGGTTCCATAGATGCATGCTGGCGTGTTCCTCTGAACTGGTTCTGGCTACCCACAAAAGCATCACAATGTTGTTCCCGGCTGTTCTGGAGAGGACTGGGATCACAGCCTTTGATCTCAGCAAGGTTATAGAGAGTTTCATCAGACATGAGGATTCTCTGCCTAGAGAGTTGAGACGGCATCTGAACTCACTAGAGGAACGGCTTCTCGAGAGCATGGTGTGGGAGAAAGGCTCTTCAATGTACAACTCTCTGATTGTTGCCAAGCCATCGCTTGCATTGGAGATTAACCGGCTTGGATTACTAGCTGAACCGATGCCATCTTTAGATGCAATTGCAGCTCTTATTAACTTCTCTGAAGGTTCAACTCATGCATCATCTGTCCAAAAGCATGAAGCATGTCCAGGTAATTTTATTTGTAACACTTTTTTTTTGCAAACCTGCTGTTGATAGTGTGATTTTCTTACCAAAAAACTTCAAATTTACTCCCGTACAGGACAAAATGGAGATATTAAATCTCCCAAAAGACTGTGTACTGATTACCGCAGCATTCTAGTTGAACGCAGTTCCTTTGCATCACCAGTAAAGGATCGTTTGTTGGCTTTAGGCAACGTTAAATCCAAGATGCTGCCACCTCCATTGCAGTCTGCATTTGCTAGGTACGTTCTGTGTATAAATGGCGAATAAGTCAGCCAAGTTAGTTTGCTATTCCTGAACTCTTTGTCTCTGTACTCGTGAAATTTACCTTTTTGGATAATTGTGTACAGTCCAACACGGCCTAACCCAGGAGGTGGAGGAGAAACTTGTGCAGAAACTGGTATCAATGTATTCTTCACTAAGGTAGGTCAATGCGGTCTTTGGTGCTAAAAATCCATTACATCTTATAACTAATCGTTTGGTTGGATGTAACTGAGACATAGCACATTAAATTTGATATTCATTAGGCTGTTTCTAAAGTCTTACCTGTCAACCCACAGATTAATAAATTAGCTGCTGTCAGAATCAACGGAATGGTAGAAAGGCTACAACTTTCACAGCAAATAAGAGAGAGTGTATACTGTCTCTTCCAACGTGTACTTGCTCAGCGGACTTCTCTTTTGTTTAATCGACATATTGACCAGATCATTCTCTGTTGCTTTTACGGAGTGGCCAAGGTGAGTTCAAAGGTCTTAACTCTATGTTGTCTTGTTTACATATGCTTCTATTCCGCTGACACTTTTGTTCATGAATCTCCCTCTAGATATCCCAAATGAGCCTGACTTTCAGGGAAATCATATTCAACTATAGGAAGCAACCACAGTGTAAACCACTAGTTTTCCGCAGCGTTTTTGTGGACTCATCACAGTGTCGCCGTCAAGGGGTATTATATTTAATACTCTTAAGCTTCAAGTTGAACAAGTCTTATGACTCTATGAAGGAGAGTAAAAACTTCTGATAATGACTTGTGTAACAGAGAGTAGGACCAGATCATGTCGACATCATCACATTCTACAACGATATCTTTATCCCCGCTGTAAAGCCATTGCTGGTGGAGATAGTTCCTGTGAAAAAGGACCAGGCTGTGGAGGCCAATAATAAGCCTGAAGGTAGTAGTTATTCTTAGACGTGAGCTTTTGTCCATGAAAGCTTTACCTAAGTTGATTGATTGTCATGTATTGGATTTACAGGTCACTGTCCTGGATCACCAAAGGTATCTGTGTTTCCGAGTGTTCCAGACATGTCCCCTAAGAAAGTATCTGCTGTACACAATGTTTATGTTTCTCCCCTAAGAGGATCAAAGGTAAAGAGATCCTAGTACTTGAAACTCTTTTTATCATGATAGTAGTTTTGGCTAACGTTCCATGTGTTGTAGATGGATGCTCTTATTTCACACAGCTCAAAGAGTTACTACGCTTGTGTTGGAGAGAGCACACATGCTTACCAGAGCCCTTCAAAAGACTTATGTGCCATCAACAACCGTTTGAACAAGTAAGTTTTTATCATCAGCTTCTTCCATATCATGCATAAGACCAACATATGTCTCATTTGGTGGCAACAGCAGCAACAACAGCAGCAACCGCAAGAGGACGCTTAAGTTTGACGTAGAAGCAGGACTAGTTAGCGATTCCATGGTAGGAAACAGTCTTACCCTCCAAAACCAAAACCAAAACGAGACTGATGCTTCAAATCAAAACCAAAATGGAAGCGATGCATCGTCTTCAGGTGGTGTTCCCTTCAAAACCGAGCCACAAGATTGATAAGGAGTATCTTTCTCTTTATTTGCAACGCCAACGTCTCTTTACTTGATTGTAAATTATTTACCTATAGAGTTTGTTTGTTTTTTACGTTTAGCTTTCTAGTGATCACCTCAGATTATGAGCGGATGGATCCCTTTTTATTGTTTTCTTTCTCTTTTAACAACATTTAGTCTGTCTTAATAAGCGTTAATAAACATGTTATCAACAGTTGACACTTTATGTAGTACTACTGCTAACGACTGATCTTAGTGGTAGTGAGACAACGTCGTTATTAGTACAGTTTCTCTATATTTTCTTGCTCTGGTTATCTTAGGAAGAGAAAAACTATAGCTAATGTTATAAAAATCAGGTGACAAGCAAAACTTTTTCTTAAAAATTCGATTTAAAAGATTTAATATGATTTAAACCATTTAAAATCAGTGTAAATTGATCTGAAATATTCTAAAAAATCTACCAAATTAAGTAATAATGTTAATATAAATCCATTTATTTATTTAATTTCATTTATTTTCTATATTTAATTTTATAATTCAGAAAATAATTTTATAATAAAATTCAAAAATTAAATATCTAATGAAAAAAATTATAAAAAAAAATTAAGAATTTGTTGACGTTTATAAGTGCTCCAAATAATCAGTCTAGTCATATTATTGAAAGCTGTGGCGAAAAATTGAGAGGATGATTGGTTGTAGTTTTTGGTTTGGTTTTTGGTTTTAGTTTTTCCAAAAATCATTTTTCACCCAATCAAGATTTTCATAAAATGGATTCCCTAAAATATAAGGAAACTAGTTTTTACAAATAACTGTTTTTTTAACACAAAAACCAAAAACAAGTTTTTGTAGCTTTTGTAAACATACGATGGGTTTTTCAAACAAAAAAAAAATTCAAAAACAATAATTTTTACAATATTTAGACATTAATATAAGATAATAAGAAAAAGGATAATAGCTGTATACTAGTAAGAAGAATTTGCTTACACAATATTAAAATAATTGATATTAATACCATTCTTTAAATTTGTCAATAAAATTAAATTAATTATTTAAAATGTTATTTTCTAAAAACTGTACTAAAAACTAAATTTGTCAAAGCTTTATTGTACTAAAAACTGTTATAATATTTAAAATGTTATTTTCTCTAATAATAAAATGATGTAAACTAAAAACGCATATAAAAATTTTAAATTTATCAATAAAATAAATTTAAAATTCTGAAGTTAGTCATTATAAAAAGATATATATATATATATATATAATTATGTGGTATTGTATGAAAGGCATTCAAAATCAATTTTCTATATCTATGAGATTCACATTATTTTTATTTAAAAATATCTTATTAAATAATTTACGTGTCCTTTTAATGATAGTACTTTATTTTTTTATTTATTCAAAAAAATTATTAATTCATTTGATTATTTTTAAAAGCAAAAACCCAAAACTAAAATCTAAAACAACCATTCATGTTTTTTGAAAAACTAAAATCTACTACAAAATTAAAAACCAAAAACTAAAAACCAAAATCTAAAAACCAAAAACTAAAAACTAAAAACCAAAAACCAAAATCTAAAAACTAACAAAACAATCATCACCTGAGACTGATTATAGCGATTAGACCGAAAACCAATAAGCTCAATCAAATCTACCTTTTAACCAGAGATTAAACCGAAACTTGGTTCTATGGGTTGAAACGACGTCGTACCATCGTAGCATTTCATATGTTTGATTCTCAAATCGATTGAAGTAGTACTCTGTTTCTCCTCTCATTTGTTGTTCTTGGCTCAAGATTATCGATTCAGCGATTAAGCAGCAGCAGCAATAACGTAGAGAAGATAAGATGGCGGCACCTTTCACGTTGAGGAAGATCGGAGTTCCACCGAACTCAGCGAACTTGACGGAAGCTCGACGCCGTGTATTCGATTTCTTCAGAGCTGCGTGTAGATCAATCCCTACCGTCATGGACATTTACAATCTCCAAGATGTTGTAGCGCCTTCTCAGCTTCGGTTCGCGATCTCTGCTCAGATTCGGAATAACGCTCACGTCACCGATCCTAAGGTAGCTTCCCCCCTAAATCTCACTCTGATGGAATTGGAATCATTTATTGTCTCCAAAAAAATTGAGACTTTTGTTGTTAATTTGATTGTTTCTTAGGTGGTTAGGAGATTTTGTCTTTGTGTTCTGTTGCTCTTTTGTTGACTTTGTTTGATTTGTCAGTTTGTGTTTGGAAGTTGGAAGCTTTTACTTTTACAGTTTAACTGTCATCTGTGTTTTGAAAGTTGAAAGCTTTTGCTTTTACAGTTTTAACTGTTATCTGTGTTTGAAAATTGAAAGCTTTTCCTTCACTGTCATCTGTGTTTTGAAAGTTGAAAGCTTTTGCTTTTACAGTTTTAACTGTTATCTGTGTTTGAAAATTGAAAGCTTTTCCTTCACTGTCATCTGAGTTTAAAAGTGGAAAGCTCCTTCACAGTTTAGCTGTTTTATCTGTGTTTGAAAGTTGAAAGCTTTTTTCCCTTTGACATTGGGATTTTTGAAAGTAGTTTATGAGATTGGAGACCTAATCTTCTGGGTAGTTGATACGGTAAAACCGTAAGGATGAAGAAGATGAACAGTAACCTTGATTATATGTTCCTAAAACACCGAATCAACTCTCAAGGTGTGAAGATCTTAGAATTAGAAACAGCTCTAGGGATTTTCCTAGAAAATTACCAAAAAAATCATCGTAACCACAGAGAAAAGGAAGAAGAAAATAACAATCATTGTGATCTTTTGTTATCAAAAAGTGTAAACAGACCCTGTTTTTATACTACTTCCTATTGCTCTCTCTCTCTCTCTCTCTTTAGCTTGGTGACGTGTCTAAGTTGCATTCCCTGATCAGTAGTCCAATCTTATCGATAATCAAGTGTTTTGTGGATTTGAGAGTTTTTCTATGAGCAAAAAGGTGGGAGCTTTACCCGTTACTCCCTTCTTAAAGCTTTGCTACCTTGTGTGGGTCCTTCTGTATTTGACATTTAGATACTACAGCAAAAAATGGATTCTTTCTATTTGGTACTGGATGTTGCTTGTGTGGCTACTTGTTTGAATTTCGAATCTTCAGTTGAAACTTGAAATTTTGGATGCAGTGATATCACGTTTTGTTTTTTGTTTTGTTTTTTGTGTTCCTCTTTTAGGTGGTTTTAGAAATTAGAATGCAGTCTATAGTATTCCTGATGATAGTGTTGCTTGCTTCTTTCTGCAGGTGATTGATCTTCTTCTGTTCAAGGGAATGGAAGAGCTGACTGACATAGTGGATCACGCAAAGCAGCGTCACCACATCATCGGTCAATACGTCGTCGGTGAAGGTCTCGTGCAGAATACCGGAAGTAAGGATCAAGGAAAATCTGATTTTCTCAAGAATTTCTACACCAGCAACTACTTTTGAAGCTGGTGATTGTTTTCTCTAAGTTGTATCTGTGACAGTGTTTGCTGTGCAAATAATGCTATGACTTCAAGATACATAATCTGCTGTTTTTTTCATTCTTTCAACTCTCAGTTTAAACTGAATTTCTCTGTTTTGACTTATGATCAATCATACAATCCAAGTTCCTGAAAGTATTGCATCTTCTGTCATGTTGGTTACTACAACCTTACACTGATGAACTATTCTCTCTCAAATATTCAAACACTATGAACAACAATCACTCTTTCTCTAGAAACTACACAACCTTATTTTGACTAAAAGATTACAACACACAACACAATCTAAGTCTTTTGAGAATCTCAGGATTCAAAATCTGCACTCTTCTTTCCCAAAATATTGCTTTTGGTAAGAATCTGAGAATGTCTTCGCTTTGTGATCTCTTGGAAGGAGTATCCTTACCGATCTGAGTTGTAAGATTACATATAGAGCTGCGCAAAGCACTGTTCTTGTGTTGTTTCACTCTCTAGGCCGGGCAAGCCACAAGGAGCTAAGAGCACGTAGTCGAGATGTATAATCATGTATAGCAAGAAGAGCACGAGCTGACTGACGAGTTGTCAACACTCTAATCATCTGTTGCAGTGTTTGCAGCCTCAAGTTATCAGCCTGTCACCAAAAAATTTCCCTATGAACTCCATTACAGACATATGCATATGTGTTAAGATCACATTTCAAGTGTACCTGTCTGATGAATCCTTCGAGTGTACCTAACTGCCCCATTGCCATGGCCATCTGACCCATATAGCTAGCAACATTATCAGATGAACTGGAACCAAGAGTTCCACTAGATAAAGTATCAGCTAAAGATTGCTGTAAACTCTCCATCCCTTGAGACAACGCATCTTCAGCTTGCTGGGACGTTTGCTGCAAGCTATTTAGGCCCATCACTTGTCGTTCTGTCATTGGCTCCAGCTGATTCGCAAGAAGCTGCCAGAAAAAAGTTTAAACCCATTATTAGAGTTTTTTTTTTACTGCATCAAAGATTCTAAAGAGCTCAACCTTGAGGAGTTCGGATGAACGGAACCCGCCAAGCCACAAGAAACATCTCTCAGCTGGTGTTTTCCACATTCCAGAAAGTAAATGGAAGACATCATTCTTGGCTGCATTGCTCTTGATCCTGAAAAGCTCCTCGTAGTGAGTCATCACTCCATCCACAATTATCCGGAGCTCAGTATCACCTGCATGAGCATTCAGAGCAGATCTCAGCTCGTTCATTTGCCTGGTCTTTTCTTCAAGCCATCGTGAATGTTCTGCGTCAAATGCCAAAGCCCCTGCAAAAAGACAAATGTACAAGATCAAGAAAATCCATGATACCTGCACCTTGCAGACCTAAGCCTACAACCAGCGCTAACTATATGAAAAGTTACTGAATCTTGAAACCGTTAAAATCTAAATAAGCCTTAGCATATTGCCATACTATGACTTATGCAATCACCAGTTCATCAATCAAATCAAGCCACTTGAGAGTGGAGTATATGAAATTATCTTTCCTATAACTGCGAGCCAAAAGATTAACGGAGAAGAAACAACCTACCATTTCCACCAGTAGAATGGGCTTGGTCTCCTGAGCTTGAGATGAAAACCCCCTAACAAAGTTAAATTATTTTATCACTTATGTATGCAAAAGTTACGCATATGCAGTCATGACATAGAATCTTATAAGAACCAAAAAATGTTTCTCCTTAATCCTTCAACATCAACGAACAAACCAGAAAAACCATCCACCCTATAATCACCAAAACTATCAACTGACACGTAAGTCTATTTTCCTTCTCTACTAACTAGCTAACATACTAAAGTGGAATTAGGCCTTGGCTGAAGTGAAGTCTATTACCTAATGAAGATTTAAATTATCAGAATCAAACCAAATAAAGAAAGTAAAGTTAAAACCTGTTGCCTTGCTCTTTGCAGCTCCTGCTCAAGTTGAGTCAGCTTCAATCGGCTGTTCTCTAGTTGCTGAACATAGGCCTATGAAAGAAACGAAAACAAGTTCAAGTAATGATAGATAGGGTATTCTTCTAGAGATGTTGCAAGGAACCAGTAGTAAGTAACATATAAGAAAATTCAAAACAGTTGCAAAAACAAAGATATACCTTCTTCCTCAGCCTGCTTTTCCTTGCCGCCTCTCGATTTTGAGCAAGCCTACGAAGGGTCTATAGATCATAACAAAAAAAGAAACAAAATAGATTATGATGTGATGCATATGCGCAATATAAATACACAGATACTTGTTGATCCGCAGAAGTGAATATATAATCACCTTCTGATCCAACTTATCCTTTGATCCACTAGAATCAGAACCAGCAGCAAGCATCATTTGCCCTCTATCAGACTGCATGTAATTAACATCATAAATTAGCCCTGTGGATTTTTGGCTCTACCCAAGTTTTACCAAAGAAAACCCGGTTCAAGCCTCCCCCACAAGTGACAGCAAAATGAAAATAAAAAAATAATGAAAAAATGATTTAAAGAGCCAGATTTACGAGCTAACCCCCAGATCTCTAGGATCTGTGTCGCCATCAGTTGAGACATCAGTTCTTGAACTGGTATCAGCCATCAGTTGAGACATCTAGTCCTTGAACTAATACACTTGACGAAGAGACTGTCCACTAAGAACAAAGTACTTTCGGCTATGCCTGAAAAAACCGGTTAATGAAGCACGTTTAGGCACTAGTCTTAGCCAGCAGATGGAAGTTAACCTCTATTGTACACGAATATTGGTTCAGTAAAACCGGTTTAGCTCACACTGAACTACTTGAAAGCCTCTTAATTAGGAAATAGATTCAGAACAAGGACAACGGTTTTATGTACTTTAAAATCAACAGAAAACCAAAAAAAAAAAAAGGTTTTTAATTCTATCACAAAAGCGAGAACTAAGCAATAGAGCAAACATTTCATCACTCAAACATGAAATTCAAATCAAACAAAAGCTTGAACCTTTTTTGAAATTCAGAAGCATGAAATTTCAAATCATATTAAATTCAAACAAAAGCTTAAAACTTTTTTTGAGCTTCTGAAAGAAAGTCAACTTCGTCTTTCACGGCATAACAGAAGTGGAAAAAGGTAAAGCTTTACAATGACTAAAGCAAAACAAGGAAGCTCAAAATTAAAACAGATGAAGTACAAGAAAAAAGAAGAAGAAGGGAGTTTGAGTTTAAGGAAGAAGGCTGACCTTAAAAGTTGAAAACTTCTGACCGAGTAAAAGGTTGTCTGAAAATCGGATTTGAAGGAAAGAGAGAGAGACACGATCTGTAATTTCGATGTCCGAGACCGTCGTTTTGTCTACTACCCAACCCACCATCGTCAAAAGAAACATTGGAAATATTGCAAACTAAACCCCCCATATTATTTTTCTTAGCTTCAAAGAGCTTTATATTTTCTAAATTACAAATCCACCCTAATAGTTGATTTGGCTTTGATCTGCTTACCTTTTTACTCCCATGTGCAAACTGTGAAGGCACTTTACACGTGACTTTGTCCCTCGTACGTGCATCATCACGTGCCCCACTTTTTTCGTATTTCTTTTTTTTTGTCAACGCCTCTGTTTTTAAGTGTAGCACTCAAAAAATTTAACACAAATATGGATTCTTAGGATTCTCCTGGTTGCTGAAGTTGCAGCTTCTGTTAGTGTTGATTCAGCATATGCTTTTTCAGGTTCTTCCTTGTTTTTGAGCTTGAAACCGGGTCATGTTCCTTGTTGAGAGAAACCTAGAATAGCCGAATAGGACACTCTTCTTGTCTGGTTAGCTGGAAGACCTGGCTGCTCTTTTTTCTCTGGCCTTGTTTATGAGAATGGTAAATCTTACATCTTCTTCCTATATCTCATTCTTGTTTCTCTCCACAGAATAGTCAGTGACTTGTTTGAAATGAAAAAAAAAAATCAGGACCACTTGTTTTTAAGGTGGAGACATACAATGGAAGTGTCTCAACATATTCATGTACTAAGGTAAACACCAATTACTCATGACCACAAACCAAATGAAACTTCAAGTTTTAAGATCATTGTTTCTATTCAGGTGGCGAATATAATTTATTTAGAGCAGCCTGTTGAGACTTGCTTCTCCTACTCAAGAGATCTACTTGCTGATACACCAAGTGACACTAAAGCAGCTAAGCGGGTCAATGAGTTTCTTTGCAAGGTAAAGGAGCAAATTCTCATATTCCTTTTGATGCATACACACATTTAAGAGTGTGTTTGTTGTGTAGTGGCTAGCGAAGCATCCTGAATATTTCTCCAATCCTTTCTATGTGGCCGGAAACTCTTATTCTGGTATAGTGATTCCAGCCATTGTTCAAAAAATCTCAAATGGTAATGTTTATCCTTACTCGTTATCGTTGTGCTGGTATAGTGTGATTCCAGCCGTTGACAAGGTTGCGTGTTGCAGACGTATTGGTACTCGTTAATGTTTCACTTAGCATACCCCATGGCCGATGCTGACTTGAGAGACGTGGAAATTATTACAGACAATTCTAGACAATTTTATAGAAAAAATTGTAATTTAATGTGAAATTTGGAGAAATAGTTTTGTGAAGATTTACGTCTTATATTTTTTTTAATATATTTTAGAACATAAACACATGTTTGTTGGACTTTAGCTTGTTGAATTTTAGCCATGGCTGGCCCTAGCTCCAACCCTCTCAGATTGAACGGGACTTTGATGTCTGGCATAATAATTATTTCATAATTAAAATTAAAATATTAAATTCGTGGCAACCGGACCGCATGCATGTATGCCCATTAGAGCATGATTATCGCTCTAGGTGCTTAAAAAGTGCTTAAAAGTTTTTTTTTTTTTTTCTTTTTTTTTTGTTTTCTGATTAAAAAAAAAAAAAAAAAAAATTAAAAGAGAACCAACCGCGGGCCGCCACGTGTCATGGGGCCCGCGTAACAGTGCAAGCATCCAAGAAAAGCTGGCGCTTATTTGGGCAACTGA